CGACGATTGTATAGGGTTTGGAATATTAGATAGGCTGCGAGAGTCGAGACAACGTTATGCACTTTATTGTAGGTGTTTAGGATTATTTAGTATATTTGATCTTGTTTGGCTAAGAAATGAAATAATAAAATGAGTAATTGGGCCAAAAATTAAAAAATTAGAAATGAAACAAATTATTGGGCCAAAAATTTGGATTTAGAAATCATTAATTTGTTAATTTGTTTAGAAAAAATTAAAATTAAAATAATTTGATTTAATCAATATAAAAAAGAAAGAAAGATTCGGTTCTTATTCGGTTCTTCAGTTCTTGGTCTAGAACCGAGAACCGAACCGTACCCGTCGGTTCTCAATTCAGATACCCGTTCGGGTATTTAATTTGACAAGAACCGTCGGGTTCGGATCGGTTCGGTTCGGTTCGGGTTCGGTTCGGTCGGTTCGGGAGATTTGCCCAGCCCTATTTTTAACATCAAGTTGTCTTATGGTCCGGCCAAAAAAGAGGAGCGATATAACAATAACAAGTTGGATAGTAGCCGATTTGACTACTGGACTGAAATTTTCATCATAATCCACACCAAACACTTGATTAAACCCCTTAGCAACTAGACGTGCTTTGAATCGATCAATGGATCAACTTCTTTTGTTTTAAGATAGTAGGCCTACTTTGAACACACAATGTTTGCATTCTTTCGTTGAGGTAGAGGCTGCCAAGTATTATCACCTTGGACTGCTTGCAGCTCTTCTTGCATTACAGCAGTCCACCATGAATCTTTGAGAGCTGATCTTTGGCTCGGGAGGTAATGGGATATGCTCTTTCTTAGTTGCAAGTGCCGCATATTCATTCAAATACGCTATATGATGTCGAACACCAGCATCTATAGTGGGTGTTGGATTGATTGCCTCCAAATTTTGTGGAATTAAATCTATAAATTTTTGGTTAGATATTTCAGCAACATCATGGCTAGGACTAGGTTCATCTGTTGCATTGATAACCTTTGAATTCTGCGGAATCAAATATGCCGAATTTTTGTTACACATTTCAGATATATATCATGGTTTGGAGAAGGTTCACCTGTTGGATTGATGACACCTGAATTTCTTTGAATTAAATTTGTAAAATTTCGGTTAGATATTTCATCAATATCAGGGTTGTTCAATATTTTTGTTTCATCAACATTTCCCAGAATAATCAGTCTTTGGCAACTCATTTATCCCTCTAGCATACTAACTAGAGAACAACATAGTTTTTACTCATAAGAGTGTACCAGATAGTAGTGTACTTTTGGCTATCTGATAGGATATCTGGAAGGGATGGGATATCTATAAGCGTTCTAAAAATAATAAGAAAGATGGTTCTGGTAGGTGTTTATCCTTTCTCCCTGCCTCGAGCTGGTAATCTGAATAAAACTTTTTTGAACATGATCCCGAGAGTTCACAATTGCCGCAAGCGAACATATTAATGATGAGGAAGGCAATTTCGTTATGCTACTAATACTTGTACTTGCCTTGCTATTTTGTCCAATGAGCTAGCAACTTTGATCTGTCACCAATCCATTCATCTAATGGAGGAAATTCTAACAACACTAATGAAGAAGAATTTGTAATGAATATCTTCATTTTACATGGAAAAGTTTCTTTATCAAATACAACACGTTGTGAAATGTGAACTCTTTTCGATGTTGGCTCCGAACAACGATAACCTTTGTGAATTGGACAATAACCAATAGAAGCATGAATAAGTTTTCTTAGCAAACTTGGACCTACTTTGATGTCTCAGTGAAGGGAAGCAACGATAGCATGTTACCTGCAAGCTATTAAATTTAGGTTGCCGCTTGTAAAGTTTGAAGTAAAACTTTCATTTTGTAACACTGCAAATGTCAAACAGTTGATTAAATATATAGCAATAAGAAAGAGATCAGCCATAACAAGCGGTAAATTTTCATGAAAGAGCATTATTATACCTGTTTTGACTACATGCCGGTGCTTTCGTTCTGCAACTTTGATTTGCTTAAAGATTCCTGGGCAAGAGACATGCAATTCTATCCCGCAATTCAATAAGTCTTCTGTAATTTTATTATTATTATTATTTTTTGGTTTGGTTTTGTCGGGTTAATAGGCTTGAGTCGAGTTAAAGTTTGTGTAATAGTTGAAAATTCAGTGTGGGCCTTGCGACAAAGTGGACTAGGTTTGTGTCGTAGTGTATTAACGTTGGGATTTTAAAAAGTGCAAGGATGATCGACTGAACACCAATACTCACTTGTGTAGTTTAGAATTCACCAATGGATTTATATAATGGACTTTGTTATTTGTACATCCGGGGTCAACCCCGGATGACACTCCCCTCCCAAGATGGGGGCCCATAATTATTTTATTACGTGTGGACCCTTCTCTTTTGTGAGGGGAGTGTCATTTAGGGTGTCAACCCCGGATGTACAAATAACTTTATTGTTATATAATACGTTATTTGTGCTTATTGATGAGTGATTTACACTCATTATATTATGCCATTAATTTCATGATTTTGTTATCTTGGAGAGTATTTTAGAAGTACTAACAAGTGATTTTGGTATCGTTTTGTAGATTGATGAAAGTGGAGAAAACAAGAGCTAAAAGATGTCAAAGGAAGGAAATAGGTAAAAGCTAGCGAAATTGGATGAAATGACCAAAACGTAAAAGATCCAAAGTTCGAGGATTAAAATGCAATTAATCAAAAGTCGTGTCGAAACTTGAAATAAAGATCCGAAAGTTCTAGAAGCCAATTGGATGAGGGAAGGTGTCAAAGGGATCAAATTTAGTCAAGATATGATCATAAATCATTTTCCAACCAAAAAGTTTTGCGCCGGAGTTATGGTCTCATATTTAGACTCATTTTGACATAGAAAATGATTGAATTGGAGAATGATTCCTAAAGCAGAATTGTAGTCCTTTGAATTAGCTTTCCAACGCTTATTGAATCACTTCAATCGGATATCGAACGAAAAAGTTATGATAAAAATACTGAAAACTGTCCAGTGCAACCAAAATAGTCTTCAGCGCCCAGGCGCTATCCCTCAGCACCCAGGCACCGCCGTGCGAGAGTAATTTTGTTAGGTTTTTACCATTCTTTTTCGGTCCAACTCATCTCCAAATCTTTCCCTAAACTCCAAGACATTATAAACACAGAATTGAAGACCGAAATTAGGGGGGAGCCGCACACTAAAAATATGTGGGATCAAGTCACACGTTCTTGATATATTGGAGAGAAGACAACAAGAAGGGGGATTGAAAAGAGAAATTCAAGAAGATTAACACCAAGCAATTGAAGATTAGAAGCATTCATTGGAAGGGGAAGGAGATCTTGATGCAAGAATTCTACTTTTTCTTCTACATCTTTATTACAAATTCGGTGATGTATTCTAAGACAATTTTCTACTTTTCTTCCATTATTATGAGTAGTTAAATTTGATTTTAGGGCGAACAATGTAATCTTTTAGAATCCTTTATTTCATGCAATTGAGATTCTAGTGCTTTTATATGTTGATTTTAATGTTGTTCTTAATAAATTTAATTACTTGATTACTAATTAGATTATTTGTGAACAATGATTGCGTAGAGATGCGAATTATTTGTTTAGACCACATGTTAAAATCCGGTAAATTGATATAAGGTGTAGAGATATATATATTGATTGTTGTGGTTATGTGTGAATTCTTAGAACTAATGTTTCGTTTAATTACATTTAATTTGCATAGAGATATGAAATTAAACTAATTAAATAGGTTCAATGAGAACTCGAGAGGGGTAAGTTGAATACAATAGAAGAATTCGACCGAACACTACTTTATGTTTTATGAATCTTGATTTATGAAGTAAAGATGACCAATAAGTGAAATTGTTCCGCCCTAACGTCCATTTATTGTTTGAATTTTCAATCACTTTTCGTTGCATCCAATCGCATTTTAAAGTCTTTAAAATAAAAATCACATTTAATCATTGTTTTGGTTTATTTTCGTCAAATAGAAGTTAGAAATAATAAATTGGGCATTAAAAGTACAGTTCTCGTGAGAACAATAATTCGGACTCAAAAAGTCCACTTTACTACTTGTTACGATGTGTTCACTTACGGGATAAAATCGACAACACTTATCAAAAGATGAGTATCAGTACTCATTAAATCATTCATGTAGTGATAGCAAAAAAAACCCGTCTCGGCTTCGTCCCGAACGGGTTGGCTGGGTGGGGTGTCGCGAGGCACGGGGCCTCGCCCCACCTCGTAAAGGGAAAAAAAAAAGAAATAATATATTAAAAATAATTTTATTTCTAGTCAATTTATCCGTTAAAAACTCATTTTGAATTTGTATTTTATTCTTTAATAATGACATAACTCGAAATTTTGAATATGTAGAAAAAAATAAAAATATATAAAAAACTTAAAAAATTAAATGGGGCAAAAAGTTGCCCTGTCCCCGCCCTGCATACCCTGTGGGGCGAGGGTGGTGTGGGATGAGGTTTGAGTGAGACGAGGTGGGGTGGGTGGGGTGGCGTCGGGATGCCCCGCTATGTTGCCATCCCTACATTCACGTTAGAAAGTGGGCTAAAATTCTAGTGAGTTTTGTGGTAGTAGTTGTACTTTGCAGTTGATTTATTTATTGGGTTCTACAATCACTGCTAAGGCAGAGGAAGGATTTTTTATTCTATATTTTTTTTCTTCTTTGGAAAAATAAACAAAGATTAAAACTAAGCAGGAAACTAAAAACAGATGAATTCTTCTTTTGCTACTGTTGATTAAGGTTAACGCAAAGGTTTTTGATGGTTTGAATGTAGTGGTGGTGGTAAGGAATGGCGATGACTGGTTGAAAGGTTGGATCTGGAACACTTTGTGAAATTTTTTTGATCAAAGGAAAATAACTTGCTCTTATATCATATTGATGACAAATATAATTAAAGAGATCGGGAAAAAAAAAAAAAGAGTAGAAGAAAGAGAAAAAAATATAATTTTTATTCAATATTAAAGTCTTAAGTGTTACAATGAATAAACCCCTTTAATATAGGGCAGGCAAAGAAGTTAGAATCAAAAGAAGTTCTAATAAACTAAAACCTTATCAAAATTTTAAAGCTAATCTAATCTAATCAAACTTTACTTCTAAATATCTATCTAAATCCTACATTTATCTTATCCACCTTTCCCATCAATTATACCTCATGTAGTGAACATAAACATCATCACCAGGATCTTTTCTTTCATCTTTATTATCATCTTCATCTTCATCTGCCTGAAATTGAAGTGAAAACGAGAAGTCACATAATCAAGAATTCTAATTTTCATTTCCATTATACAAATAGCTTGTTCGGTTTATTTCAACAAAATAGTTTTCAAAGTATGAAAATGCAATAAAAGGGAATTGACACACATTTATCTCTAGACGCTCTATTTATTGTACTTCAACGCTACTCTTTCTCCATCTGATATCTGATCAAGTTACTCCTGGTACTTCTTTAAATCTACATTATTCTATAAAACTAATGTGTTCAAATTTGTGACTAGCAGTGGAGACATTTTCAGGAATTAATAAGAACACAAAAAACATATGTAGTCGACAGTAAAAAAGTAGACGGTTGTGAAATCAGACCTCTGGGATCTCAGTATCCGGCGGCCGTTCTTGGAACTGTACACTTGGTGCATGCGGAAGTCTCGAGATATTATCAAGGAGCTCTGCTCTTATTCTATCCAACTTTTCACGAGAGTTCTTATTTTTCATGTTACTTGGAGCAACATGAAGAGTGTAGTCTGGACCAAAATACTCAATGTATTCGTGCTCTGGCACCTTATCATCAACCTCAACTCCAAGTGCCACTCCTGTCTGCACAAAAATCAAAAGGACTGGTCATTTGACTTTTTTACATTTTTGAAATGATTAAAGGTTCATTATAGAACCTATTAAATATACAGATATGAAAATAAGATATACATGCAACATACCTCATAGCACCAGCAACGAGCAACATTACGTAATGTGTAGCCACCTCCACCCAACAAAAGAAGTGGTACGTTAAAAGATTTCATGAATCTAACACACTCTGCATGACCTTTAACGGTTAAATTGAAGCTGCCTAACCAATCCCCTGATAAGGAGTCAGCTCCACATTGTAAGACAACGGTTCCAGGCCTATAAACTTCCATAACCTTTCTCATTATTGGCTTAAACAAGGACTGATAGCTTTCGTCATCAATTCCATCATCTAATGGAACGTTAAGAGCATAATATTTCCCCTTTCCAACTCCAATATCTTCTATGCCCCCAGTACCAGGGAAATATTCTCCAAATTTGTGAAAAGAGACGGTCATGACCCTGTCTGTAGCATAAAACGCCTCCTCAACACCATCTCCATGATGAATATCGATGTCCACATATAAAACGCGCTGAAAGAAAAGAAATGAGAAATCACATTCAGGAATGTGTAATTGAGCGAGTCATAAGAATTCCAACAAAATAGCAAAATCTTACCTAAAGAGTGTTCTTGATGGTTAAGCAGCAAGAAACTATTAAATTGTGTGGCAGGAATAAGATTTGAGTTTAGACGTTCACCAGATATAAATATTTTTATTTTATAGAACTTTTTAACTAACTAACATCTGTGTAACATATTGTCAGAAATTAGTCAGTTCAAACTATGCCTTCGGATAAGGAAAACACGATGAGGGTGCTTTATCACCTAAGGGTGTGTTTGATTAGCATGAAAAATATTACCTAGAAAAGAAAATATTTTCCATCTTTTGTGGAAAATAAAAACCACCTCTACCTAAGGAAAATATTTTCCTTAAAAACAAGGAAAATTAGGCATATTTTCAAAAGTTGGAAAATGTTTTCCATGGAAAAAAATAGCAATCAAACACTCTAAGTAGGAATTTGGATGGAAAATTGATATTTTCCATGGAAAATTAATGTAATCAAACACACCCTAAGTGAATTTCATTCGTTGTTAACCGCTGTGTAAGACTACTAACTACATATGTATTTTGAACAATGAGTAGAATAGGATGTTATTTAAGGTAGCCTTTATGTTCCTTTCTTGCAAGAGGCTAGTACAGGTAGCAACTAAGTTTGAGTGAATTGTACCGTAAACAACAAATTAAAAGTTATGAAATAAACCACATAGGATTTACAAAGGTATGTATAAAATAAACAACAGATACTAGTCAAGATTAAAGTCAGGCTAAGTGCTATCATGTATAATGTTAAAAATGAGAACCAAGTGGACGAACCTCATGAAACTTAAGGAGCTCCAAAATAGCCAAAACTACGTCATTCACATAGCAGAAACCGGAAGCCTCGCATTTTTTTGCATGGTGCAATCCACCAGCCCAGTTTATTGCAATGTCACAATGTTCATAGTTTAACTTAACTGCTCCTCCAATGGAACCTCCGGCATAGGTTTGACAGAAGGAGTAAAGACCGTCGAAAACAGGGCAATCATCACCAACATTAAATCTCTTAAGCTGTCTCAGGTGATCCTGCTGATTATCTGGCGTGATTCTTCTCAAGAACGAGACATAATCTTCAGCATGAAACTTGCACAGATCCTTTTCTTGAGCGGGACTAGGCTTCAATACAGTCATATGTTGTAGTAGTCCATATTGTGCGAGGAGAGCATGAGTCATCCGCATCCTATGTGGCTTCATTGGGTGACCTTGCTCATAGTAGTAATTTCCAATCTCTGGATCATAGTAGTAGCACACTTTTTTCTTACCCATATCTGCTCCAGATGGTAAGGAATTGCTGCCAATAGCTATTTTCCTACTCTACAAATCATGCATAAAACATAACTCAGATTAGATTTACTCAATAGGTCGCAAGGATAGCTTACATATAAATTAGATAATTGGAATTCCTTTTTCCTACTTAAATGTATTATCGCACCTCGAAAGAAATAATAATTGAATCCAAATAAGCACTAAGTTTTGTTTTCAATAAATTTGACACTTAAGTACATATTATTTTTTGCTATTAATATTTGGGATTGGAAACAACCCCATGTAGCATGATGAAAATAATCGCCTTATTTTTTTGTTGTTGCTGAGAATTATAAATTCTGATTCTATTCCATTGAGAGCAATTGATTTGAAGAAAGAAAAGTAAACACTAAAGTATACGTAAAATTTATAGAGATGTGCCTGAATGTACATAAGACTACGTCTTCTCCTCCATTACAATAATTCATTATGATAAAAAAAGATTTCCAAGATGCACTCTTATCTTCTCTAGCCTTTGTTACTCTCGTTTTGATGATAAATCATAAAGTTTAAATACAACTCCCTATTTATATAAAATAAATTAGGGTAAATGAACTGAGCAGGGCTACCATAAGACAAAAGATCTTTTTAAAATGATTCGAACCCCTGACATCGTGGTTTGTCGCCACATGCTCCAATCATAAGAGCTATAGGCCCAACCCTTTTTTTCTTCACAGGTTTAGGTAATTTTCCTTTTATGCTCCGCTTAGCCTTATCCCCAAGATGGGACTAAAAAAGAATAGGAACAAAAAAAAGAGGACTAGAACGTTATTCCTTCATGACTTGAACGTTATTCCTTCAAGCAAAATTCCTTAATAGAATTTTATAAGAATACAAATTCCTAAACAATTGTTAGATTAAATTTTGGTCTAGGCAGCTCCGACCCTCCGGCACCCCACTGGGAAGAAGCCTGCCCCCTTCCAACCCCCACAACATCCTCACTTCAGAGGTTTATTCGCGACCAATTTCATGAAGTTGCAATAATTAGACTCTACAACTTAACAGTCAAGATGTAACTAAAAATAGTTGCAAATAGTATTTTCAAAATTTTTACATTTCATGGGAAAGATAAATTTTAGAGAATTTTTCTTTTTGTCCGGAAAATACTCCAAATCAGCATCTTGCATTAAAAAAAATTAATAATAATAATAAAATAAAATTAAAAAAATTGTGAAAAGTAAAGACTTTCAATTTCCACACGCGATCGCAGTTGAAACCTAAACAAACACAGGTAGGAGAAATATAAAACATTCATCCGCAATTTTCTTTGATTCGATTTTCAGACAGTTTTGGAAAGAACTGAAAAAAGGTAAAATAAATAGACTTATACTTAGAAAACCAGTCCACAGTTTTTCTGGGGAAAATAATTACAAAAACCCAGTTTCGTCAAGGAACCAGCACAACGTAAGTACTATCTAATGATATTCATGCATGTTTCTTGATCGGCGATTAAAAAAAAAAAAAAAAAATAGTACCTCTGCATGACACATGCAACCCTACCCAGAAATCCAATCTTTAGCCCAATTTATTTCACAAAAATTCAGTCTCTCGACTCTCTCAATTCTAAAGGAAATTCAACAACAAAAACCCGATAATCTTTCGCATAAATAAAGAAATACATCACTTTTATCGGAGTTCTCGAAAGAGAAAGGGTTTAATACATTAAAAGGAGAGTGGGACATACCTGGAAGAAGGACGAGGAGTCGCCTGTGGGAATGAGGAAGCAGAAAGGATTGTTGTTTTGAGTGTAATTGTGAAAATAAGAAAACGTGACCTGTTTATCCGTATGACCGTATTTATATTGGTTTATGGGGGAAGAATTGGAAATAATTCATACGTAGGAAGTTTAAACCTTTCAGATATACTGTATATTTTATTGAGAAAAAATATATAACGGTGTATCCTTAAATCAGAAATATAGTTCAATAATTAATTATATCAGACGTTTAATAAAATTTCATCAAATCAAATACCTTTCTATAGTCATAATTTAACCTCGGTTTGATGGTCAATAAAAAGAATTTTTTTTGTGAAAAATGAATTTTTGAACAGTGATTTTTTGATAAATGTATGGTTAAAAAATAGAAAAAAAAATTAAAATTATGTATAGAATATTTTATTGTAAGTATGTGTGGTTGAAAATGAGTTTGAAAATTAAAAAAAAAATTGTTTTAATGGTTGTCAAACAAGGGCTTGCTATTTAATAATTATAACAAAAGCCTTATCTCCAACTGGAATACATTATGAGATACAACTTCAAATGTCAAAAAGAGAAATATTAAGGAGCCGTTTGGTATCCATTTTTTTCAAAATGTATTTTTCTCTCTTCTTTTTAACCACACATTCTTTATTAAAATAATATTACATGTAAATAAAAAATATTTTCTTATTTTTTAACTACACATTTCTCATCAATTTACTATTCAAAAACATATTTTTACATAAAAATGGTTTCCAAACACCCTCTAAGCAAAGAACGCCTAATTATATTTGTTAGAGACAGGGTTCATCAATCATATCTTCTTCAATTCCTCTTTATGATGGTCTGCGACAAAGCATTGCTCTGATATTACATCTTATATTTCTTTGTAAACAATTTGTTGCTCCTCATTTAAATTTAAGGGAGCATTAATAAGTGAAATCTATCCATAGCATTGTACTGTATACTTAGTATCGTCATAGTCACTTAAATTGCTTTTGATTTCTGTTGACACGTAAAATATATAACTAATCACACACACACATACACAAAAAATAAGAATAAAAAAAATCCATTAACCCAGCTTAAGAAAAATTATATATTATAAATCAAAACTAAATCTAGAAAAAAAGAAAAAAATTAGCCCGTAAAAAAAAGAAAAAAAAAATGGAAAAATGCACTAAACCTAAATTAAAAATATAATATAAATCAAACATAAAACAAGAAAAAAATTCTCCTTTGATATAATATTTTTATTTTATTTTATTTTTAAAGCTTTTGTGATGATTATCAGCATGTTGCGTATTTCTTAATTTTTATTTTTGATTCTCATTTTCCTTTTTTTTTTTTTTTTTTTTTTTTTTTTTTTTTTATTATTTTTTAAAAAAAAAAACAAAAAATTTTTTAAAGCTTTTGTGATGATTATCAGCATGTTGCGTATTTCTTAATTTTTATTTTTGATTCTCATTTTCCTTTTTTTTTTTTTTTTTTTCTATTGTTGTAGTAATAACTATTTGTGAATTTTTTAGTGTGTGTGCGCGCGCGCGCATGTTTTTGTGGGGGTAATAATCGGGTGGCTTAACTAAAATGTTACATGAAGTTGGGTGATTATAGTGAATCAAAATCAATTTGGGTGGCCATGGTGACAGCTCTTGTTTGAATCCCATTTTTGGGCTTAAATGTTTTTTTGGAATAATATTTTGTTGAAGAATGCGTAGTTAAAAAATAAGAAAAAATTTTGAGTTTATGTTTAAAATTGTTTTATGGGAGAATGAGTGGTTGAAAATGAGTTTTCAAAAAAATAGATACCAAACATAGGCTAAGTATAATGTATAGTGGTCATCTGTTAATTTAATTGGGGATCAATAGACACTAGATGATAAATTGAAAGTTAAACAACTATATTTGCAAGAACAAGTCTACTGTTTGTTTCCATGGAATAGACAAAAAAATCAAAAAATCAACCAAATCAATCAAATCGAACCCACTCGGGTCGGTTTGACAAAAATAACTGGTTTGGTTTGGTTTGGTTTTTCTTTTAAATAAACTATCGTGGATCTGTTCAGTCATAATTTGAAATATTAAACTATTTGTTAATTGAACCAACCCAATCCAACCCAACCCTCCCCTCCCCACCCTACTTTCATGTTTATCTTTTTTTTTTTTAAAAGAAAAATAAAAGTCAAAAAATATACCTTAATCTCATAATTATATCTCAATTCTCTCCAATTTATTATGTTGTTGATAAGTAATAGCTTTGAAAACTTTATTTTACAAGCTCACACTTAGCATTTTTTTTCCCATTCAGACAACTAGGTTACATAATACATAAAAGAGCAACAAAATTTTAAAGTTTTCTGTGGAATTGTCTCTATTAACTTGATTTTATTTGTTAGTCAATAATTCTTGTAATATAAAATTATTTTAATTCTTGTAATCTATGTAAACCCAAAATTCAAACATTTTGTTTTTTAAATCAATTTGAATTAAAAGTTAAAATCAACTAACTGAACGGAATCAAAATTTTTTTTTTGTTTAGTTCGGTTTAAAAATTAGAGTGGGTTGGTTTGAGTTGAAATCCATACAAACCAATTAATTTGATTTTGGTTTCAAGTTGGAGTCGAAACAGACTAAAACCAAACCACGGCAAGGCCTACTTTCACATTGCTATAGGGAGAAATAATTAATCTGTTGAGTCAGTTGTACTACATATATATAATGATTTACATAATGATTTACACACACATGATCCGATAATATATAATTGAATCATTATTTATTTAGTCAAATAATAAATAAAAAAATTTCCTACTCTTTTTTTACATCTCATCTGTATGTAAACTATTATATAACTCCATTACGTACAAGTAACATTATTCATAATTAATATACATGATTTTTAAAAAAATTTTAAATTGATGTTATACAAATTAATAATATCCATTAATTAATAAATTATTATGCAGTGAATCGTATTAATTTAGAGATATCACACTCTTCAACAATAAAAAATCATATCATAACACTCTAGAAATGTTAATATGGATTAGGTGGTCCGGTCCATTTCCAAAGGCAGACTGTTTTCAAGCTCCAGAATCGAGCTTGCTCGCCTGCAGAGACTAATCACACGGTCCGTAATTTCCATACTTCCGTTATTTATTTATCGAGAGAAATTAATTCTTACAAATTATTGAAGGTTTTTTTTTCCCGATAAATATGATCCACGAGATCCTTTTTAAAATTCCTTTATTTCTATACTTCTTTTTATTATTTAAGAGCGTTGAGACCTTTAAACACATTACACTGAAAGCATGACTTTGATTGTTCTTCACAAATATTTTCTTTTCTTTCCATTGAAGATTCTTTGAAAGGGCATTAAGTAATTTTTAATTTCTTTTCGTCAAAAAGACTTTCTCTCACTTAGAAATTATTGTTTACAAAGAATAATATTTTAGTTAATTTATTCAAATGGTCACTGAACTTTGTTATAGTTACTACTTGCCCATCAAAATTTAAAAAGTTACTCGTTAGAGCTTTGATATATATTACTATTTGCTCAACGAAATTTAAAAGATTACTCATTATTCACCTAAATTTGAATTAAGTTACTCATTTATCACACATATCATTTTCATTAGTCTACTGGACAAAATAACATGAGAAATATAAAATCGCACGTGGCACTGACGAAGTTAAAAATAATAGTGTGCAAAATAATAATAATAATAATAAAAAAATCACGTAGTGCACGACTAAATTGCCCATGCGATCACACAAGTTATTTTCGTCGTGCGCCACATAGATTTTTTGTCCATGCTATTATTTTTTTTTCACTCCGTCAGTGCCATGTAGGATTTTTCCTCTGTCACATTAATTTCTGTCCACTTGGACCGATGTAAATGATATGGGTGATGTTTGCGTAATTTTGTTTAAATTTTAAAATGAGTAAAAAATAATTTTTAAAATTTTTGGAAAGAAGTAGTAACTTACATTTGTTGAGGTTGTCCCATATCAGTTGTGGAAGGGATTGGTGATCAGTTTATAACTTCGTGAACTAGCTTTTGAATTGAGAAAGCTCAATACGACCCAACATTGATATCAGAGCCCAAGTTATCAACAAGTATTAAGTCCAACAGTCACGAGATATGCGAATTCATACGAGGGAAAAAGGGATGTGGTCTCCCAGGACCCTATGTGTGAGAGGGAGATGAATTTAATCTCCTACAACACCCAATGTGTAAGAAGGAGACTGTTAAGGTTATCTCACATAGATTGTAGAAAGGAAGGAGGATCAATTTATAAGTATAAGGAAAAGTGAGCCAACTTTTTGAATTGAGAATGTCTAATACCATCCAACATCGTTAAAATTCAATGACCATTGATTAAATTCACTTAATAATATTTAGTTAATCAACAAGTCTGATTATTGATCTTTCTCAATTCAAAGTTTGAACCAGGTTATAAAACATTAATCACGATAGAATAAGTAATCTATATGAAACATATAATATTGCAAAAACGGAGGACAAAATGGAGCACAGCACATGCAGCACGAGCCCACCATCTACCAAACTACAAAACGAGCCACTGACCGCAATTATCCTAGTATATTATGACCAAAAAACCCACGAAGTCAGATTCACCGTCTGAATTCCATATCTAGACTTTTCTATCCGGCATATCGAACAATAAAAAGGTATATTCAGCTTTTTCTTTATTGAACATGTGTGTATCTGTATATACAGATGTAATTATTTGCACCAATTATGTTATTTTGAGCTTTCAAGAGAGAAGTTCCTGAATTTGCATTTCTTGGCTGTTTCCTGTTGACTTGGATTTGGGGAAAGATTCTTAAATAAAGTAAGCAATATTCTTGAATTGGTTTGTGTATCTGTGATGAGATTATTGATTGTTTATCGCAAGTTTCCTGAAAATTCAGAAGGGGATTCTTTAATTCTTGTTTGCTTTTATGGTGTCAGATGTGGGAAATCTGGTTCAGCTTTAACCGGGTCCTATGCGTTTAAGCAGTATGACTATGAAGTCAACTTAGCACAAGTTGTACTAATATTTGGCTTCCTGTATATCTTTTTTTCTGTTGAATAAGATTCTGTAATTGGCAAGAGTTTAATTAGTGAACTTAGGGTCCGGTGATTGTGAGAATGAAATTTGGATAGAAAGAAAATGAATTTTAAGGAATTGAATTGCCTACAACGTGTTTCACTGGGAATTGTCGATTAAATGTGTTTGATTTGTATAACTTTTCACTTGAAAAATGTTGAAATTTTGAATTTTTTGGTGTTTGTTTAGCTTTGTTTTCCATGAAAATTGTGAATTAAAGGGTTAAAATTTGCTACAAATCGAATATATTTCCATTGTTACAAAAAAAAAAAAAAAAAAAAAAAAAAAAATTAATTTTTTTTTTTTTTTTTTCCTCTTTTTTTTTTTTTAAAAAAAAAAAAAGAGGAAAAAAAAAAAAAAAAAATTAATTTTTTTTTTTTTTTTTTCCTCTTTTTTTTTTTTTAAAAAAAAAAAAAGAGGAAAAAAAAAAAAAAAAAATTAATTTTTTTTTTTTTTTTTTCCTCTTTTTTTTTTTTTAAAAAAAAAAAAAAAAAAAAAAAAAAAAGAAGCTGGAAAAAACAATTCCCACCAAAACCAAAGGAAAATCAATTCCTTGAAAACCTGGAAAATGTGGTCATGTGGGGGGTGGGTGGAAAACCAATTTCATGGAAAATTTTGTCCATCAAACATACCATTTGGGTAGAAAATGAAAAACCATGGAAAATGGAGCCTATCAAACAGGCCCTTACATTTGCTTTCCATGAAAACAATTGAGCAGCAGTAATTGAAGAAAATTAATTTCAAGTTTCTATTTCGTTTATCTTTTCTTCCTTGCATTGAAGAAAGCATTGCTTCTTTTATGCATATTTGTAATTTTATTTTATTTTTTTAATTTTCTTGTGGGAAGCTCATATAATTTTCTAATATTGTCTATGCAGAACTATTTTGTGATTGAAGTAAAAATACCTCTAGATAATGGGTAACAGTGAATCGTCACCCGATGAAACCCACGATAATTTTCCACGTCACACCACTTCATATGTAGGATATTCTGTGAACGCTAGTTATCAATCTCCAGAACATGAAAGAAATTCATCAACCAGTAGCTATCAACATTATCCACCATCGTATGATGGAGGTTCAAAAAGCACTAACTATGGGAATAAGCAACATTCATCCTACATAGCCGATAACTTCAGCTCTTTGGAAGAGGTAGGCTATACCTTCATTAATGAGATGTTCTTATGTTTATGGACTATGAGCATGTTTACCTAATCTTAAAAAATTTACTTTTAAGTATATCTGTACTTTTTTAAATATATCATTTTTATTGGTGGAAGTGGAAAATAGGTAAGTTATTTATTTTGAATCTAAGGTAAGAATCACTTTGAAAGAAGTAATTTTTTAACTTAAAAGTAAGGAATGTAAGTTATCCATACATATCTGAATATAAAAAGTTACGAAATCAAGAGGATGTATAATGTCTTACAATTGTTTTGCCAATTTTCATCCTGTCACTAGTGGACGAACAAATATACACTAAAGGGATTAGATTTACCGACTACATCTTTATTTTCTAATTCCTTAGCTCGTATGAGCTTCACTTCTAAAGTTCCAAATGGCTTTCACTCTAGGTGCCTGTAACAGGTTAGAGACCCATTCCTAAGATAGTGTCTTAAGTTTCCAACACGTATATGGAACTGTTCTACTGTCAAACACGAAATTTCTGTTAACACTTTTCAGTCAAAGCGGCTAATTTGAAGCCATTTTGAGTGAAGCACAATATTTTTTTTAAGAAGTACTTTATAAAAATGTGCCTTCTTGTAAACACAACTATCTGGGTCATGTAAATGTAAATTCAGGAAAAGGAAGAACTGACTCATGGTTATGGACCTGAATCTGTTAGTATGGTACATTTTCTTCTCCAAGTGAAATCCCCTAGTATATTAAAGAGTGAAAAAAAACACCTTTGTTGTTGAATAAGAAGCCTTCGCATCTTAATGCATGCTCTTAATTTATTCGGGGCTGTTAGAGCGGTTTCCAGTTTTTGGGGAAAATGAGTCAAAGCAATAAAAAGAACGACACATAAAATAAAAAAAATAAATGTATAGTGTGCGATTTATACTCAACTGAAGTAATTCAGACCAAAATTTCAGAACTTTGTAATGTTATACAAGTGACACTTTATATGATGTCAATGCACTGACACTGTATTATGTGGTGTTTGACTTCATGTCAAGAACTTCTTGACATCAAGCCAAGCACCACTTGACAAGCATTTTAAAGGGTACTTAAATGGTCACAAACTAAAGAGGTACTAAAAAGAATCATTTTAGACACTCAGATGTAGTCTTAAACTGTTGCTTACTTTGGACTATTTCATCAAGTTTCCTGATTATTGTGCTGCCAGGTTATCAATGCTCTAAGAGAAGCGGGCCTCGAATCATCCAACTTAATTATTGGTATTGATTTTACCAAGAGCAATGAATGGACAGGTGAATAAAAAAAAATTGCTTATTTTCAGGATGTCTGATTAGTGGGAGGATCATCTGACTTATCCGCGGTTTTAGGAAAGTTGTCATTCAACAGGAGAAGCCTCCATGCAATTGGAAACACGCCCAATCCATATGAGCAAGCCATTTCTATCATTGGACGAACTTTATCTCCGTTCGATGAGGACAATTTAATACCTTGTTTTGGATTTGGTGATGGTTAGTCTTCACATTATCATGTTGTAAATTTTGTGGTGCAATTTACTGAGATTGATAATCAGATCATTTTTTTCCTCCAGCCACAACACACGATCAGCATGTTTTCAGCTTTTATGCTGATTATCGGCCTTGCAATGGATTTGAGGAAGTTCTCAGACGATATAAAGAAATTGTTCCATATCTGCACTTATCAGGTTTTGGTCTTCTCTTTCCATCTATTTTCATTTAGTACAATCTCTTTGCAGTGGTTATGATATTGTTAGAATGCAATTAACATTGGTAAAAAGATTCATTCCATTTGGTGAAAGCTAATGTGTATACCTTTGTGCATTTTATTTTCAAACTAAATTCTAAGTCAGCCTAGTAGATTGATACACTTAACATGCATGTCACTTTTCATACAATTATTGCTAAATGGTGCACTGTCTGATTGCGAAGCTGTTTTATTTGACATTGAAATTTCAATAGAGCAGATTTTGGATATCAAACCAACCTCAGTAACCATATAATTATTTTACATGCCTAGATTTATGGTTTTATAAATTTATTTATAGTGTTGTGCATAAACGTTAGACATGAAGTAAATTTTTAGAATGATAACATTAAAAATCTATTGATAAAATCGTCTGATGGATTTAAGAAACTTGTTGTTTCACCTGGCAACCATAAATCATAATTTGATCGAAAGATCAACTCAATGAGCAACAATAATAAAAGTTAAGTAATGAGGGTCGAATGACTTTTGAAGCACCAGATGGCTAGTTTATAATGAATTTTGAAAAACTCGTGTCAAACAGCAAGCAAGCAAGTGGAGATTATTTTTAAAGTTACCGTCTAGAACTGAAATTCCAGAAGAGAACTAAAATGAAAAGAAAGATAATTAGTCAGACTAGAACGGAAGATCATTAGTCAGACTAGAACTGAGGGCGTTCTTTTGTTCATTCAGTTTTCTCCTATATTCTTGATGGAAAAGGTGGTTCAGAAATGATCCTAATAATTTCTTTTTTCCTGTCTTTATTCTGGTAGGTCCAACCTCATTTGCACCAATAGTTGATGCTGCAGTTGAAATCGTGGAAAAAAGCAATTGGCAGTATCATGTCCTCGTTATCATTGCAGATGGACAGGTTCTTATATCCATTTTAACCATTATTTATGATCTTCTCTGTTTGAAGCCTTCTCTCTCCAGAAAACTATTTTCTGAATTTTTACTTTTAATCGTCTTGTAATGTGGATTTAGGTCACTAGAAGTTCTGATACACCACCTGGAAGGTTTAGTCATGAAGAACAAGCAACTATCAATTCTATAGTTGCTGCAAGGTAAAAAGGTTACGACTAGTGGAATTATCATAACATGGTCCTCGGCTCCTCACTGATATAATCAGTGGCATGTAATATACAGTGTATATCCACTCTCAATTATTCTTGTTGGTGTGGGGGACGGACCCTGGGATGCTATGCAAGAATTTGATGATAACATTCCTCAACGTGCATTTGACAATTTCCAGGTACAGAATTATTCCATAAAAAATTTTATTACATCTTATATTTGGAGGTTATTTGCATCAATTAACTGTCTTTCCTAATAATACTCGTGTAGACATCTCGTAAATTTTTAACTTTTGGAGGATAATTTCTTAGCGTAGTGATTTTTTGGAGGAAATTCAAAATTTGCAATGTACTTCGCATCTGAAGTTCTTTAAGTACTTGCTTCATCCAATCTAATTTTAGAACTTCTTTTTCCAATCTAAAGTAGGTGATGATTGATATATCATGAAACTTGATTCATTTAGCCCATGTTTGGTATAGCTAAAAAGGTAGATAAAAATCAAAGTCAAAGAACAATTAATTTTATTTTATACGACCTACATTCTTTATCAATTTTTCAATCACACATTTTCTTAAATTTTATCAAAAATTACTAAAAATATGATTGTTAGCAAAATCAAACGGGGCTTATTTTTATTAATAATTTTATTCTTTAAAAAAACTAAGATTAACTCAACAGTATGTTTTCTAACGAAAAAATCATTTTTAATTTTATCATTTTTTTTTCATGTGTATGTACCAAGTTATCTGTATCGTAGAATTATTTGGTTGAATTTTTCTGGCTCGATTCTATTTTTCTCTTAGTTTTAATAATACTACATGGTGCCTTGCAGTTTGTCAACTTCACTAAAATCATGTCTGAACACACGGATATGGCCAAGAAAGAAGCAGCTTTTGCACTTGCTGCTCTCATGGAAATACCTTTGCAATATAAAGCGACATTAAAGCTACAACCTAAAGAGTAAGGCCAAGAAATTCTGTTTTCTTGCAAACTTATACTGAACCGCACTCGTGATAAGGTGTCATCACTTCTTCAAAACTTTGGCCATTTCAGTTGGTGCTTGGGGTTTATCATTGGTTCTGTTGTGTTCTACTCGTCCCATCCCTTTCTAACCCTTTCCTATGTTGATATAAGAAGTTGAGACCAAGTCCTTCCTATAGTTTCAAGTTGCAAGGAATCCCATTACTACTTATAATGCCGTCCCTCTAAAATTATGTTTCTTATGTTTGGATCTAAGAGTTTAATTGTGCTAGATGTCAATTCCTCCTCCCCTTATATAAACCTGTCTCCTACTTTAATACTTCTAATGATGAGGTGGCAATCTGTATCTATGTTTTTCGTTCAGTAAATATGATGTAAGTTCTCCAACAAGGCCACTCCCTCCTCCACGGGAAGTTACAGATCATGACAATGCTATTAGACCAATCCCACATGCACAAATCTCTGAACAAGTTGAGTCAGGACCATCAGCCGAGCAAGTAAGTGATCTTCCATCCTCAGACTCTTATCATGTTATATGTATTCATGGGTTTGAAGATCACTTTGTTATTTCAAGGTATGCCTAATCTGCTTAACAAATCCCAAGGACATGGCTTTTGGATGTGGTCATCTGGTAAGCATCTCCATCCACTTACACAAATTTTAGCATCTATAACGTTATCTTGAATTTGAATAAACATTTGAGTCATTTTGTAGGAATATAATTTCTGTTCTTCGTATGGGTTTTCTTAGCAAGATTATAATATTTTGCTGAATCATATATACTGTCTTCATCTTTTACTTTTGTTCCAAAATTACAGACATGCAAGGATTGTGGTGTTTCGATATCATCATGCCCTTTGTGCCGTCAGCCCATAACTACTCGACTAAGACTATATTCTTGACTAGGTCGATGTTGTAGCTTGAAGATATAAACAAAGCTCAACCAGTTTAAATTGAATCCTAGATTAATTTGAAGAGTCGAGCCCATTTGTGTTATTGTCAATGCTATTTTACTTTATTATGTTTATTCTTAGTTATACAACATTGCTGGAGGTCCATACCTGCAAAGACTGATATCAGTTTAATCCAAGCAAAGATGTATGGGTTCATTGTTATATGGGCATAGGCAAGATTTGGACCTACGTAGAAAAACTTCAACAGATTTACAGTATCTCGCTGTTGACCATTCCGGCGCACTCCCCTTCCCCAACTGAGGCTTACCTCAATGGGTTCTAATTCTAAGAAGGGGGAGGCTCTCTGAAGAATATATTTTCCAATCTTGTTGCAGTCACAGTATACCTAGTGTCAGTCCCGCTTTAAGTTGCAATAAGGGTGCAGTTTTGTGCAAGTGTTTCATTCCTACACATTGTGCGTGATATATTTGAGATACTTTATATGCTTAAGTTGGCAACATTCTACACTCGTTAGAATATTGTTTCATAAGATTTAAGCTAATGCAACTATAAAACAACTCAAACCCAAATTCTGAACACATCTTTCACAAAAACAGACTTGCTACCTTCAAACTTGATACACTAGAAACTGGATCTTAACTCTGTGACTGGGTGATGATTGACTCCATCAATCAACAACTCAACATTCGCACACCGATCATTACGTTGCATTTCATCGTCAAAAAATATACACTGGCACTGGTGATTAATGCATTAAGAGCCATCAAGCCAACACCAACTATCCACGAGATGAAATATTACCCGTCTGGTCCCTAACTGCTCTTCGGATGCATTCAGATTCAGTTTTTCATCCCATCCCTTTGGAAGCATTCAGATTCAGCACGCACATTCGAAAATATCTGGAACTATATAATAGGCATCTATTATTTCATACAGTAAAACAACCTTTAGTGTATCAGTAGTTCCATCGATCCAATGGAAGCTTGGCTTCAGCCATGTCTTTCTGTGCATTCTTCCTTCAATAAAATACTGTGCGATCTCAACTGAAAAAATTATAGCATCTATTAGAATTGACTCAGCAGTACGCAAATATTACAGTACAACAGTGACCATAATTGATTACTCAACATGCCAATAGTTTCATAGGTAACAAGGGGAAACCAACAACAATCACAAGTTCAAATTGAAAATACAATACATGACGTCCTTTTTTTCTTTTTTTCTTTTTGGGGGGGGGGGGGGGGGGGGGGGTTTTTTTTTTTGTTCTTTTTCTTCTCTGCCTCTTAGGGGGTTTTTTTTTTTTTTTTTTTTTTTTTTTTTTTTTTTTTTTTTTTTTTTTTTTTTTTT